TTACAGACGGCACATGTTTGGGTGACGGGTTTTTAATTTATTCCCCCAACTGTTGTCTTAGGGTTGGTGGATTGAACTGAAGCGTTTTCTACTTACTGTCATCATTGGTATTTTAAGGCTTAAGTCTGCTATTTTTTTTCTTGTTCCCTGTGTTGCATTTCTGTGGTTTCTCTTCCCTGCCTTCTTGAACATGATTTTGGAAGTCCATCCTGACTGGTTTATAATGGTTTTGAATGTATCTCTGAATAGCATCTTTGTCGTTGATAACAGCTGTTATTGTGAACTGGCTTTCAACCCACATACACTCTACCCCTTTCTCTCCAAGAAATACATCAGGTTTTGTTCATCTTGACTTGAGAACAACCGTAGACAGGAATACAAACATTCTAAACAGACACGGAGGACCAGAGTTGGGTTCTTACCAAAGTCTGTGTTGGTTTTTTCTGTTACTGGTTACTCTTGCATCTCAGGAGAGCCCGCGATGAGGCCCAGCAGAGGGAGCCCACCAGGACTTCTGGAGCTAAGAAGGGCTGAGAGCAGGACTCTGTTTTATTCTCAGCCTATCTCTGCACTTCAAGCAGTACCTGACATGTATTCGTTGCTCCATAAATATTGAAGGAAGGAAGGAAAGGAGGCTTCTGGGCCTTGGTCAGCTCTGAGTTCGTTACCAGTGGCTGAGGCTGGAGACACACGACCAGGCGCTGATCCTGGAGCTCCTGGTATATTAAGTGTTCTTGACCATCCTGCCTGAGGAGCTATAGGCTAAGTTCAAAAACATAATCCAGGGGAAAGTGATACCTTTGCTGTGGGAGAAATCTGGTAAACAACACCTTAAGTAATCCAACAACAGCTAGTAATGGGAGGAACTGATCTATGGCTTCTGATATCATTGCTTCACTGAGGACACATCACTTCTGTGGTATTTTTGGCAAAAAAAAAAAAAAAAAAAAAAAAAATGCATAACCTGAATCTAGTCGTGAGGAAACATTAGGCAAACCCAAGTTTGGGGCAGAGTGTTCAACAGACCAACTGCCCTGTGTTCTTCAAAAATATCTATGTTTGAGAGACAAACATTGGGGAATTGTTTTAGATTAAAGGAGATTAAGAAATGTAATGTGAGCTCAATGTGTGAGCCTAGGTCGGATCCTAGACTGGAATAAAATTTATGTGAAGAACATTATTGGGACAGTTGGCATAATGGAAACATGGACCATTCATTCAATAATAGTATTGTATCAGTGTTCAGTTTGAGTCAGGCATTGTTTTGTGGCCCCAAAGGCAGAATGTCTCTGTTTTTAGAATGTGCATGTTAAAGTGTTCAGGGATGAAGGTTCTTGGTACCACAACACATCTTTAGGAAGTTTAGTGGGTTAGTGAATGACAGCAGTCAGGTACACGTGGAGGAGAAAACCAAGTGTCAAGCATTAATAATAGGCAAATCTCAGTAAAAGGGATATAGCACTCATGTTGTTCCTATAATTTTTTCTAAGTAAAGGTTGAAATAAAAACCATACCCACACCAGAACAAACCCAAAGAGTGAATATCAAGTATTGGCTTTTATTGGAGAAGTGTACAGAGTATGTGATAAGCCAGGCCAACTTGTGGAAGGAGGGAGGTAAGTGACAGATGTCTCAGTATAGGAAAGGCTGGAACGCACTTGGTGACAGTACTAGTCTGTATATTCTGGGTTGTTTTGACAACTCTACCAGACACTAGAAACTTCTCATGTAAGGAAGGTTTTCTCGTTGGATTTCTTCTTTCCAACAGAGGCCAGTTTGCACTGAAGTGTTTTCTTGTAGCATCTACATTTTCCACTGGATGATTAGCAAGCTTCTTTCAGACTCAGGACTCCTTTAAGATGAACTCACATACCACTTACCTCACAGACACTGAAATTCTTCTAGCGGCCGTTCACCTCACTAGACATAAGCATTAAATAATGCAGGTTTAGAGCTGAAAGAAATCAAAACAAAACACCCTCACTCCTTTCTCAAGCCTTTGTTAAGTGCCGACCCTGTGCCAACCATATAAAGGAAAACGATGCAAAAAATGTTTAACAGATGCAAAATGGGCATTCTTCCAAGATGAAAAGTGCTTTATTGGGAAGAATTATTTTATTTTTATTTTACTTCATTCAGAGAACAGAAGCTTGATTTGCGGTGTGTCTCAGACCACTGCTCCTGACTTCCTACTGGATTTACAGTG